TGTAAAGTCAGTCGACTGCACAGAAAGAGACTAAATATAAGATTCTGTAAAGTCAGTCGACTGTACAGAAAGAGACTAAATATAAGATTGTATTGTTGTCAACAAAGTATTCGAGGGGGGCAATAACGTTCTTTTAATTATTAGGACCCCCCGGTTCCGACCTCTAATGTAGTTGATCTATTAAAGAAAAACTTCAAACGAGCACCGCATGTCTGGAGTTACCTTTTGATACATGTTAGAATGTCTTTGATTTGGTTACATGCGTTTGGATTTTTCCCATGTTATTATTGGAGCCACTATGATTACAACGATGAAACCTAACAGATTTAGTTAGTAAATTATTTCTCCATTTGATCCAGTTAATCTTATTCTTATATAAATTAAAACCTATCACTTTATTAATGCTTGAAGAAAATTAATTTATCGGAAACTCCATTTTCGTCCTTCAATAGTCAGTTTCGGGTTGGTCAAAGGACGACAAAACGTCTACAGAAACTACCTGCTATCTGCTGTGTCCAATTTTAGTGTTGTGAGTTAATAAAATATTCGATTATATAATTCTGGAGCCTGGCTGGGAATTTCGAAAAATTGTGATCCGTGCCGAGATGACTTCGCACATCTGAACTGTAGGCGCGTTATAAAAGTAAACAAACAGCTACACTTTTCCTCGATTTGTTTGTTTGTTGTTAAGCACAAAGCTACAAAACGGGCTATCTATGTTGTGCCCATCACAGGTATCGAAACCCGGTTGTTAGCGTTATATATGCCTGCAGATTTATTGCTGAGCCACGGGGGGGGGGGGGTGCAGCTGACTCGTGGCCTACCTTCTTGTCAGCGTGTATTATAAATTATAGATGGCTATATCTTAGCCTTTGACCCGGAAGATGCCGTTCAAGATGCAAAAACTAAACAGGGCTAAAGTGAAAAACAAGCGAGTCGATTATCATGTGTCCCGATTTTATCCACAAAAATAATAAGTTGCCACATTATTGTTCAAACAGTTCAATAGCTGGCATTTTGTCAAAACGTTTATGGTTTTGAAACTGAAACAGACTAAAAAGAACAAGTACAGGTAAAGCTTTTAATTTTACTCCACAGGTACTGTCCCACTTTTATCCACAAAAATAATAAGTTGCCACACTATTGTTCAATCAGTTCAATAGCTGGCACTTTGTCAACACGTTTATGGTTTAGAAACTGAAACAGACTAAAAAGAACAAGTACAGGTAAAGCTTTTAATTTTACTCCACATTGTGGAACGTCAATAAAGTGGGTCCGAGTAC